AAGGGAGTCTGTCATTCCAGGATCTTGTAGAAGAGTGCCCCCATGACAGGAAATAACAAATTTAAAGTACTAAACCTAGAATGAATATGCTATGTTCAAGAATCAACAGCTTCAGTGGAGCCAAGGGATTAGTAGGCAGTATCCATAAAGCTGAGTAATTACAGAAAAGACTGACAGGAAATAAAGTTGAAAGGGGAGCTGGGAATGACATATTGGACACCTTTTCCCTTGTCAAAATGATCCTCCCTAATGATGATGATGATGATGGGGCTACAGCAAAATATTTCCTATCTCCTGCCTTGTGTCTTTAACTGCCCTTATACTGTTCCACTTAGAAAACATAACCTCAAATGTAATCTGTCCTGACCGAATTTGTCCCTAATATGTACACCAATCAATATTTACATTAATTTACCAAGTTGTGTGACTAGCACACAACAGTTCACTCAGGATATACTTGAATCCTCTGACCTTCATATTCTGTATCTATTCAATGACTCAGTTTTATCAATACTAACTCAAAATACCTGCCCCTTTCTCTGTAGTTCCACTGATAACTCCCTTTTCATAATTTCAATCTGATCTGCAACATTCTAGCTGTTAATTCCACTTATAATTTTTCCCTCTCAACATCTTTCCATACATGCTGGATTTTATTAATGCACAAAGCATATCATACTTTTTAATATTTTTCTAGCTCAGAAAACCTACTGACTTTTTCTTGACTTTTTCTTATCTGTAATCTTATCTCTCAAGATATTTTCCAAAAATATTTTATGGGAAAATAGTCCCTTGACATATAAATTTGGAAATGCAGTTACTATATCTCCCATAGAAGATACTATTGCACATTACCACATTAAGCATTCTTTAAAAGTCCTAGAGTTAAGAAACCTATATAAATTTTTAAACTTAGATATAAATATATATTAATCTATGAACACTTTTTAAATATAATAACTAATAACATCTTGCTGAACTGGTATTCGAGGAACATACCTTGACTAAAAAGGTTAAAATTGATGCTGCAAATTACCATTAAAGTGACTATAAAATGTAAGTTATATGACATAACTGTGTTATTCCGCAAAGTGAGGAAAATGTGTTAGTTCAAATGCATAAATTTTTAGAACTGAAATGTAATTTAAGGCCAATCTAGCCCAAGTCAAGCATTTTATGAATCAGGTTCAGAAACGTAAATTTCCGAAGGTTACTTAGGTTGCTGGCAGAGCTGAGATTAGGATTTCTAGTTTATTGCCCTAATGTATAAATACTATTTTTATTCAAGGTAAATAATTTAACATATATTTATCGTCCACTACTATGTGCCTGGTATATGCAAAGATATTCTCACAATTCATCTTGGCATTTGTATTTACTTTATTTAACATTGGATTTGTATTTAATTCAATTGGTTGAGCATAAATTCCTTAAGGGTCAAGGCTTTCTCTAGATTTTTAAATCTCCCTTTGTGACTAACATATTATTATGCACAACTAGTCACTGACTCAACACATTCATGTAATATATTCTTGCTTAAATAACTTCTGATGACAGATCATAAATTAAAGAGGATTTAGCAAGAGTGAAGCCCTCTTCCTGGTTCATAGCTGGTGCCTTCTCGCTGTGTCCTTACATGATGGCAGGTACAAGGGACCTCTGTGGGATCTCTTTTATAAGAACACATCCCATCCCTCATGATCTAATCCCTTCTGAAAGGTCCTGCTTCCTAATACTATCACCTTTGGGAGTTAGAATTCTATATAAGGACTTGGGGGAACACAAACATTCAGACCATAGCATAATCCCACCAACAGTGTTAAAGGTCCACATCCTCACCAACATTTTGTATTGTCAGTTTTTACTAATTTTAGTTGTGGTATCTCATAACAGTGCTGATTTGTATTTTTTGATGAGTAATGATGTTGAGCATCTTTTAATATGCTTATTGGCTGTATATATATAATCTATTGAAAAGTGCCTGTACAATATTTAATCCTTTTTTTTTTTTTTTTTGCGGTACGCGGGCCTCTCACTGTTGTGGCCTCTCCCTTTGCGGAGCACAGGCTCCAGACGCGCAGGCTCAGCGGCCATGGCTCACGGGCCCAGCCGCTCGGCGGCATGTGGGATCTTCCCTGAACGGGGCACAAACCCATGTCCCCTGCATCGGCAGGCGGACTCCCAACCACTGCGCCACCAGGGAAGCCCTGATTCATTTTTAATTGCATATTTATTTGTAGTTCTTTATACATTTTCAATATATAATCTTAAGATATGTGAATTTCAAATACTTCCTCACAACTTGCCTTTTCAGTATCTTAAGGGTGCTTCCTTTGTTGAACAGTTCTTGATTTTAATGAAATCCAATTATCAGTATTTTATTTTTAATTGGTGCTGTCTATATCTTGATTCAAAAATGCTTGCCAACCTCATCATGAATATATTCTCATATGTTTTTTCTCCTAAAATTTAATGTTTTATCTTTCACATTTAGATGGTTAAATTCTCTTGAATCAATTTTTGTGTATGATACCAGGTTGGGTAATACATATTTTTAATGGGGCCAGCTATTTAAGACAATAGAGTACAGAAAGGTACAAGGATGTGTAAGAAGTGTGTTAATCACTGGATAGCTTCAGGTCAGGTTTGTTATCTTGTTTGTCATTTTACAATGTAATTATGTGTTTTGAAATTTAAAAATAAGTTCATTACAATAATATATAATTACATCAGTTCACTCTAGTTGATCTCCACAAATTACAGTTTTATGAATGTTATAACAAGTTGTACTATTTTTTCAGTGGCACGCACACCCAAATCAGTCTTCTACACTGCTCTTAGAAATTGAAATATTTAGTGGTTTCGGTCACTTTTCAGAGGCAACACTGTGGAGAAGAAAAAGTACTGAACTAGCAATCTGCTCACTTGAATTCAAGTTCTGTGTCAGTCATTAATTAGCTATGGCTTTCTATAGAGCATACTCATAGTGTTTTCTGTCCAACACCCTTGATTTCTTCTGGAAGCAATAATCTACTCCTCCTGGGAGCTACACCTGTCCACTCCACCCTTAAACTCATATACTTACATTAAGATTTGCAGTGTTTTGACATTTTCCTATTCCCTGACCCCTGACTTTTTTTAGGGTCCACCAAATCTGTGCTAGTCTCCTGTAGCTCTCCACCTCAAACATATTGGTCCAGTGGTGGGACACTTCCAAACTAAAACTATCAATGCTATACTGAAGCTATGTGAATCTAGTCCATGAAGAAAAGTAGTCACACTATTCTGATTAGGCCTTCCATATGCACAATTCCTTCATATCCACAATTCCTCTATATCAGCGGTTCCACATCCAAGGATTCAAGCAACCGTGGATCGTGTAGTACTACAGCATTTACTATTGAAAAAAACCCATGTATAAGTGAACCCATGCAGTTCAAATCCATGCTGGTCAAAGGTCAACAGTGTATGTGTATATTTGTACATACATTTAAATACATATATATTTGTGAATTCAAATACTTTATGATATGATTTAGGAGTTTTGTAACACTGCTACTGACTAAAATTCAAAAATGTGTTATCATTTCCAAAGTGTGAGAAAATGGGTTATACATTTCACTAGTGATTTTAATGAAGTTTAAAGCAAATGCCATTTATTACTTTATTATTTATTATGACTACACTTTAATGATGTATATTGCAGCTGTGATCCACTATAGACATAAACAGAATATTCTCTAAATTGTTTTTGATGGAATATCTGTTCCTGCATTTCTGAATGTTTACTGATAACATTGCTCTTTCCTTCCTGATTCCGATCGCATCAGTGGCTGAACACGTGCATGTATTCTCTTCTTTTTCTCTTCCCGTGCTGTGTAAACATTACACATTTCCTTCCACTTTTGAATCCAAAGGAAAAATAGCCTTAAAGAAAAAAATTTGTATGTGCTTTTCCATTATTTTTTGCTATTGATCTTTAAATAATTTTGAAACAGGAAGTCTCACTCTCCTGCTGAAATCTGTTTCCTATAGAGAGTAAATGTGTTGATTTACCACTTAAAGTCACTTTTCTGTGAAACTCTTTTGAATCAGATAACTCCCTAAGTTGAGGGAGAAGAACTGGGACAAAGGACTGGCTAGAATGTTAGACAATTTCTTTTTCAACAGTTCTGTTTGCAATCTCATAGAAAACCTGGTTAGGAAATTGGTTATAAAAACAGAAACATACTTTAAAGGAAACAAAGATGAAAATTTGGAAATGTGTTTCTTTTTTGAAATGGGAGTAAAGGGAAAGAGGAATCAGAAATTGAAAGCTGCGTTAAAGAAATAATAGAGGGCTTCCCTGGTGGTGCAGTGGTTGGGAGTCCGCCTGCCGATGCAGGGGACACGGGTTCGTGCCCCGGTCCAGGAAGACCCCACGTGCTGCGGAGCGGCTGGGCCCGTGAGCCGTGGCCGCTGGGCCTGCGTGTCCGGAGCCCGTGCTCCACAACGGGAGAGGCCACAGCAGTGAGAGGCCCGCATACCGCAAACAAACAAACAAACAAACAAAAAACAACAAAAAAAGAAATAATAGAAAAATGCAAGAAAAATTAAAGTAAAATTAGTTCTGACTTAAAAAAAGAATAGTTATGAGAAAGATGTGGCAAATAGAATTGCAAATGTAAATGGTTCTTAATACATACTTAGTCATGTTGATCAGGATTACCCATGTCTCTCAGTTATTGCCATTTTAATGTATATTTTCAAGATTGAAATATGACCTCTGTACTTGAATATTATTAGCTATATGCACTGAAAGTATGTGTATCTACAATATTGAATGCTAATACACATGTTTTAAATATGACTCATGGAATTTGTGGACAGAAATGTATGAGAATACACATTAAATGTCATAGAAATTTACATGTGGAGGTATGCATAAAGTTCCTACTAGTCTGTATATAAATCCACATTAACATTTTATTTATTAGATATATCTGTGTTCTGTATTTCAGAGATGATTGACGCAATGAAGAAAGAACATATTTTTTTGGTTTCTGTATGTCTGCTGCTTAGTTGTGCCTCTGCCCCTCTTAATGCTGTTCCTGAGGAAGGTGAAGAACATACAAACATTACAGGTAAAATGTTAAAAGTATTCATCTTTTTAAGCTAGTCAATGCTCTCAATTTTAATACAAAAATTTAATACATTTTTCTCCATCTTGTAGAAAAATCAGTTTTTATTGAAGTGACATTTTTCCAAAATCTTAGTCCAAAAAATAAAGTCACTTTAGCAAGGAAGATCTCTTTTTTCTCAGACTATATATTAAATACTGAAGTACCTCTGAAAAATTGCAAGGAGCAAAATGGTATAGATACAACTCTCTATGAACCTTGATGTCACCCTTTGTCTGGGAAAAGTATGAGAAGGAAAAGGAAAGTACAAACATCTGAGGTTTCAGTCATTCTCTCCTTCTTGCCTTTATTCCTCAAATAAAAACTTCTCAGATGAGTCCAAAGTAAGAATCTAGTCAAGCAGGATACCAGAAGATCTGGGTAATAGAAGATAGTTCTAATCCCGTAAAGTTCTGTGTCTAAAAATAAAATACAGTTGACCCTTGAGCAATGCAGGAGTCAGGGTACCAACCATCAGTGAAGTCAAAAATCCACATATAACTTATAGTCAGCCCTCCGTATCCATGATTCCTCTAGGTCCTGCGTTCTGCATGCAGATTCAGCCAACCACAGATCATGTAGTACTATAGTATTTATTACTGAAAAAACATTTTGTGTAAGTGAACCCATGCATCTCAAACCTGTGTTGTTCAAGCATCAACTGTTTTAACAATAAAACAATAGAACAAGGAGGAGACTGTGTAGTGATCGTTATTATAGATTTATTTCTTTCTTAAAAGTAATATTTTGTGGCAAATTAGTAAATTAGTGATAAAAATCTCATCATTGTTAATAATGAGAGACTGAACAAAGTGATAGCTTCTATTCATTTGTATATATGTTTATGATGTACAAAACATATCCATAAATACATTTTGATTTCATATCTCCAACAGCTCTTTAATGTGATTTTGTTCCTTGTACTAACCTTTGATAAAGATTGAATAAATATATCTTATGTGCCTGAGACTCTGGTAGGTGCTAGGGAAGAAGTGATGACTGAGACCGGGTTCTCCAAAATTTCATGGTTTCACAAGGGAGACTTTAATGTAGACAGATTATTTCAGTGTAATGTGGTAAGTGAAATGATAAGAGGCATGCATAAGGGTGCTGCCGTTGATACAAAGAAAAGGGGGACTCATCTAAGCTTGGCTATCTGAGAGCTTGGCACAGGGAAGTGGCCAAATGGTACATGCTACATCACTTCAGCCTGCACCCAAAAATGAGACACTGGGAGCAGATCTGAAGGTCTAGACCAACTGGACCCACAGCTTGAAGTCCATCTGCCCAGGCAGGCCCAGCCTACATCAGCCCCCAGCTGACCGGTCGATAAGAAGCAAACCCAGCTGGGATCAGAAGGGCCATTCACATCCTACCCATGAATGAAAAATAAAGGCTTATTATTATATGCCACCAAAAAATACATATATATTATTGGGAAAATTTCCTAAAGATGGAACATTATTTGATAAAGTAAAAACCATTATGTGCCTTATGAGAGTAGGAATGTGGGCACTATAAGATGGACTCTAATTCTTCCTTCCACTCATTTTTCAAAAGGGATGGCTAAAGTTCTAATATTCTGGAGGTTGGGTAGAGAAGGAATGTGGAGGTTACAGTAAGTCCCAACAGGGCAAAGCAGGCAATCCCGTCTTAGAAAGTGGGAGGAGAAAGAGTCCAAGTGTTCCTAATATTCACCTCCTCCAAGCTCCCTCAATTAGGCTGAGAAAATGCATGCCAGTTAACCAGGATGGTCCTGAAACTGTTGCTACTGCCACAGTCAGCCAAGAAACCAGAATTAACCCATCAATAATTAAACCCAAGTTTAAAATCTCTGGATAAATCCAGACCAAACCCACCTGGATAAGGAAAAATTTTGATCTTAAAGCTAGATTTGAAGACCACTTAGCTGACTGGCTGCACAGTCTTATGCAGTTTTGGTTTTCTTTTGTTTTGTTTTTAATTAATCTTGTGATAGCATGATCCTGTGTCTGTATTGATTCAATTTTGGAGATACCATCTATCACATTATGCCAAGGTCATGCCATCATTTTATAGATGTATGCCAGTTCATTGAAATACTGTACTAGCATTTTATTGAAAAACATTACAAGATTTTACGGCTTCTCTCACAAGTCAATAGTAGACCTTTTAAAATTAGTTCAACCAGCAGGGAGGATGAAATAGAGAAATTTTTGATAAGATAAAAATGATTAAAAAATAGTGGTGATAAACTTTTTTTTTTTTTTTTTTTAATTCCTTTAGACTGGTAGAGACAAGATTAGCAGGGAGCATTTAGAGAAAGGCAAGTATGTTTCATAACATTTAGAATCAGACAGACCTAAGTATGCATGTGTAGTTTGCCACATAGCAGCTTTGCAAAATTAGATGAGTTTATGTAAACTCTCTGACTCCCAGTATCCTAATCTATAAGTAAGTGATCTAAATAACTACATTTAAATGGTTGTTATATAAACTGCATAAAAGCATCTGGCATATTTCCTAGCACAGAGGAGGCAGAGTACACGTCTGTGTTCTTCCTTTCCAGAGAAATCAAATATTTTAGTTAGATAGTCAAGTAGCATATATATAGATAGTAGGTTAACCATAAAGCTCTAGGTTCCCAAACAAATTCCAGGAGAATGAGGATTCTAATAGTCAAGGATATGACACATCCCCAAATATATCACGAGCCTTCCATTCAACATCCCAGGACAGGGGGAGGGAAGACTGAGATTTTAATTCTCAGACTGTGAGACATAAAATATTGGGTTGGCCAGAAAGTTCCGTAAGATGTGATGGAAAACCCCTAACTTTTTGGCCAACCCAATATAAGAAATTAATTATGAAAATAATTACATATAAACCATAATTCTGTTTATCTTACTACATCAGATTAAAGTCCTGTTACATTGTCTTGTATGTTTTTTCCAGTTTTACGGCCTTAGGTAGATCCTTGTCACAGTCAACGCTTTCTTCAAGTCTTGGGAAAGTTACCCTTGATCCCCTCAGAAAAGCTTAAGTATCTTATTATACACTTACACAGCATCCTGAACTTCTTGAATATTTATATAACTAAGTCTTTAGTGTCCGCATGCTTCATGAAGGGGGGGGGGGTGGTCACTGCCACCTAATTTACTATCATATCTGCCATGACAGCACAGTGCCTGACAAATGACCAACACACGATTGTTAACTTTTGAAAAGGTTTATCTAAATTAAAAAATCAAAACAAGACAAACTTTCATCCCTTTTTAGTGGCACAGCATGGCTGTGTGTCCAGAGGGGCCACCTGATCACTCCCCCAAATCAAGAATGCTGTGCCCAAGTGCGAGGTTGCAAGGTCACTGCACAAAAGAATATTCTAATATAGGATTCGTGTAAGAAATACAATAAAATATGAATGGTAAAAATGAGTAACTAGATAATAATTAGTAAAATACATTATTCAAAGTTAATTCTTAGTGTTTTCTTTAGGAAATTGCTATAAAATCATTACCTGCTTTCATCACTGAAACCATTTTTAATTTTTATAAAGTGAAGTTTAGAAAAATTTATTGAGTGGAAATTGTACAATTAAATCTATGTGCTTGACTTAAATGCCAATTAAGGAATCTCAGTCACACAGATCTGTGACAGTATCACTCAGTTATTAAGAAGGTGAGCAGTATCTGGTATAAAACTATCTGAGGGTCAATTCTGAAGCCGTCACTTATGGTGTGAACTGAACAATTAATTTTTGCAGTGCTCTTTTATAATCTGTAAAGTGGAGATAATAATGCCTAATTCAGAAGTTTGTTGTGATCGTTAAATAATATAATTGCAAAATGTCTGGAGCACAGTAATTACTCAGTAAACGTTAGCTCTTACTACCAGGACAACTGCTACAACTATGGTGTAATATCCTTTGTTTGTGGTACGCTGCCACCACCTGGTGGCACCATTACTAAATAGCAGGTTGAAAATAAGATGGTATATCCTTAATACAGAAACTGTAAAATAAAAGATTTGGCATGATAATAAAGAATATCAAATATATGAAAAGTCAAAAATGCGGGAATAATCAATGAGAAATAATTTGATATAAGTTATTGATTTATAAGACATAGTTTCCCTAAGTATACAGTATTTGGCAACTCAGGTAAAGCTGTGTTCTACAAGTGGCCTATATTAAAGGTGCCTGTCTGAAGCACTGCTTCAATGATTTGGTGTCTGTAGAGTTCTAAAGTAACATTAACTTGGGAATCAAGACCATCATATTGTATGAGAAGTGCTATAGGAATTTCTGAAATAATGGTATATAGCCATAAGTTATGAAAATGTCAGAGTTTTTATTCTAGCTCATTTCTCAAAATTATTTATGTGACTTCTGAGATTCTAAGATCTGCTCCTAAGGATATTTATAGAACTGATAGGTCAAATTTTTGTCAGCCCTACAAAAATGTATATAGAGCAGATAAAACATAAAGTGCTAATTCAGTGACACATTGTGCGTCATCTCTCAGTCAGATGCACCACTTAGGGTCCTTGAAGCTTTCTAACTTCTCACAATTTTTTAACAACTCAGAATGTCATGTGTAGAATTATCAATCTTTAAGTAAAGAAAGGAATATAAATAGCATTCACAATCATGCATAAATGTACTACTCAGAAAATGCTTTCGCTTATTTTTGAATTCAAATTGACAGTTGTAACTTCAGTGATGAAGGGAAAATATATATTTTTCATGTCATTTTTTGTTTATATACAGATATATACAATACTCTAAAATGTTATTATATATTATTAATTTCTAGAGAAAAGAAGTACTTGTGTGTATAATTTAAGAAAATTAATTATTTGTAATTTATAGTATTTAACACCTAAATTTTCATAAATAGGGAATGGTTTAATGTAGTATGATATATACATACATGTATGAATATAAATATTCTGTTGCTTTTTCTTTCATGAGGATTGGAGTCATGTACCAGCCCTGATATTGTTGCTTTTAAAGAGTTGTTTTGTATGTAAAAAATGACACAGCTGTGGATTAGGGAGACATCTCTACTTATCTGTAATGTCAACACATCAGTTACCTTATAACTACTACTCAATTCCATATTGGTCAACTGGTACAAGTTTAAGCAACATCTATAACAAGAGTCTAGAAAAAATATTTGATATTTTTCCTTAAAAGTTGGTTAATAATCAACTATTAAAGTTTAATAAAGTTGGTAAGACCTGTCTCATTTGATGAGTTTATATATTTTATCTAACTTTTTGATAACTTTTCATAGTTTCTTATATCAGCCTATTTTATTATTGTTGCACTTCTCCTTAAAATTAAGATGTATTAAAAATGAATGTTATTCTTTTATTTTTACCTTGTAGATGCTGAGTTGCCACCGTTGAAACTTGTACATTCATTCTGTGCATTTAAAGCAGATGATGGCCCATGCAAAGCAATGATAAAGAGATTTTTTTTCAATATTCACACTCAGCAATGTGAAGAATTTATATATGGGGGATGTGAAGGAAATCAGAATCGATTTGAAAGTCTGGAAGACTGCAAAGAAAAATGTACAAGAGGTAGGTTTCTGGAGATACTTATTACCCAGAAACCTTTAGAGTTATTAGATCTAATCATAGATTTGATCATTTTAGAAAAAATGTTAAAACTATTTTAACATTCCAAGGAATCTTTTTCACTTTTTTAGCTTTAATGTTCAACTACTGTTTTTCATTTTTTTGTATCAGTCATTATAAAATACAGTAAGCTTATTGTCCTATACTCTTCCCCATAATAAAGAGGGAAGAAAACCCTTAAGTTTGCAGAACAGATTTTATATCTGCAACAAATTAAGTGTAATTCAGCCTCCTTGGGTAGCTATGAGTTCACAGGAAATAAATTGTTATTCACAGTGACTTAGACTTTCCTTTACCAATACAATGATCTCATAGTTGTTTCCCTGTCAAGATAATGAATTAATCCAATTTGAGGTTCTCAACAGCTACTAATTAGAAAATTATAGAAATATATATATGAAAGTAAAATCCTTCTCTTTGGAGCCTTGGAATAATGTAGAAAATATCATCCCTGATGACCTATGAAGACCTTACTGAACCCAACTTTTCATAGTTTTACTGAGTTATAAGGTTTAAAAGCATATCACATTCTACTATTAAACTTTATTGAACACTTTTATTCTTTTAATCATGTTAAAACAACTTTTTTTTTCAAATTCTACAAATTACAATGTTTCATGTGGTTTTCTCTCTTTAGACTGAGATAAATTCCAAACAATTACTGGTCAAAATTTTGAATGTTTTTATCTCAGTTTTATTCTTCTGAATTGAGAGCTACTTGAGAGATAGAAAATCCTGAGTTGTCTTTATTTCTGCAGTTTCTAGTCCCAAATTTCCCCACTGCATGTTCTTAGAGACAGTTGAATTAAACTGTAGGGCCATAGTGATGGTATCTTTAGTTAACACTGGTGTCTTGTTTTTTGCAAAGCAGGCAGGTCTGCATTTTCACTCTGATAATGCTTTCCTAAACAGCTTTTACAAAACAGCCCTGGTATCATGATGCTCTCGGCCTATGGGAAAATCTCAGTGTGGTAAAAACAGAGAGCTTTTCTCCTCTGTGACTGTTGTATGCTCCAGACCTGGCAGAAAAGAATTGATGTGAATGAATTTCTTTATCTCAGAGCACTTATTTCCCTCTTTCCTCTCCATAGATGTGCTAGAAATGTTACTAACACAGATTAGGCAGTTCAGTGGTCCTCTGTAGTACCTTTGGTTTTTGTGATTGCCTGGTCATTTCCCATTCATCGTAGATTTCTATACCCTGTTCTATTCCATACTGGGCCAAGTATCCTTTCGTACTGAGTATCACTCAGGTTCAGCACCTTGGCTAGAGGCCTGGTTGCCTCATTCTTTGTAATCCTCACTTTTTCATGTAGCAGCCTACTTAACTTCATCAACTGGCCTCTTTCCTGAAATACATACCTATTTAGTTTTTATAATTTACAAACCTTTTATTTCACCATTGTGAAAAGTTACCCTTTTCTTTAGAAATTAATCAAATATGATTTTGTTCTTCAGTGAATGTCCTGCTATAATGTTTTCTCAAACATCATTATTGCCTACCATAACTATATGTCTTTTGCCCCCATCTCCTCATTATCTCTTCAAAAGTCATTGATATTACTGTTTGAATATCTGAGTGTTTTATATAGTAAGCTACTGTTAAGGATATAGCTGACATAGAAGAATTACTAAGATTTTAAAAAATCACCTAAGGAGAAAATTCCATCTTCAGCTGTGATGGAGTAACTGGAGCTGAACTTTCTTTCCTAATGTAAATAACTAGAAAACTGGGCAAAATATATGAATCAGCTGTTTACAGACATTGATCAAAAGGCAGTGCAGGATTGTGATCTCTGAGAGACGGGAAACACATGAGGTGAACCCTCTGGTCTCCCCAGCAATCTGCATGAAGGCACTTCAGACCACAGTTAAAGGAGGGAAATACCAGCACAGCATGGTGGCCTCCATGGTGGAGGATGTGGAGATTGGAGACTGGTAGACTGATGTGGCTGGGTTTTGAGGGACAATATGTGAGAGAGAATGGACATATGTAGAGAAAAAGCTAAAAAATCTGGATAAGGGTCCCTTTGAGTTTGTTACTGAATAATAAAACTGCATGCACTTGGTGAAATTCCATGAGTTTGAGAAAGTAATTACAGGGATTTGTAAGTGGAACAATTCCCAGAGCTCCCACATGACTAGGAGAAATTTTACATTTAATTTAGTAATAGGACTAAATTAGACCTAGAGTAAAAGCTACTTTAACCTTGCCATAGTGAAGCTTAAACCAAGGCTTAAAAGTTCCAGATAGGGCTTCCCTGGTGGCGCAGTGGTTGAGAGTCCGCCTGCCGATGCAGGGGATGCGGGTTCGTGCCCCGGTCGGGGAAGATCCCACATGCTGCGGAGCGGCTGGGCCCGTGAGCCATGGCCGCTGAGCCTGTGCGTCCGGAGCCTGTGCTCCGCAACGGGAGAGGCCACAACAGTGAGAGGCCCGCATACCGCAAAAAAAAATAAATAAAAATAAATAAATAAATAAATAAATAAAAGTTCCAGATGATCCACAAGTAACTCAACTACTTGCCAGAAGGCACTTCTTTAATGGAAGATGGTAAAACATTCTTTAACGGAAGACAATAAAATCCAGCAGCCAACAGCATAATATTCAAAAATATCTATAATCCCCCCTGCCCAGAATACTAAACATTTGAAGAAGAAGCAAACTGTGATCCATAATTAGGAAAAAAGTGCTCAATTCAAACAGAGAAATGACAGAGGTGACAAAATTAGTAGACAAGGACTTTAAAATAGCTATTATAAATATGGTAAAGGATTTAAAGAAAACATGAACATAATAAGGAGAAAATGGAATATATAAAAGAGAACTAAATGGAAATTCTAAACCTGAAAAATTCAGTATATAAAATAAGAAATTTTCCAGATGTACTTAAAGCAGATTAGACATTACAGAAGAAAAGGTCAGTAAACTTAAAGACAGAGCAATAGTAACTGTTCAAGATGAAGGACAGTGGGGATTAAAAAAAGGCTAAACAAGCAAACAAAAAAGAATATAGCCCAATAACCCATGGCAGGAAATCAAGAAGTCTATCAAAATGTGTAATTGGAGTCCTGGCAGTTGGGGCAGGAGATATGTGAACAAAAAAATGGCAAAGAATTATCCACATTTGATGAAAACTGTAACTTGTAGAACCAAGAACACTGAAAAAATAAAAAATAAAAAAAAGAATAAAGAAAAAGAAGTCTACACAAATGAATATAATAATCAAATTGCTGAAAATTGTGGATAAAATGTAAATCATAAAAAAATGAGGAAAATGATACATGAGGGAATGAAGATCGAAAGAATCCCCAAGTTCCCATCAAGAAACAATTCACAAGAGAAGAAAATGGAACATCTTATTTGAAGAGCTAAAGGAAAAAATAAACTGCCAATTAGTAATCTAGATCTATTAAAAATACCCTCATAATGGAGATAAACACTTTTTCAGATTAACAATGTCTGAGAAAATTTATTGCTAGCAGACTTGCACTGTGAGTAATAGTAAAAGATTTAAAACTAAAGCACACAGGAAAGGAGGGGGAACATATGAGATTACTGTTGTAAGGTTCTGATACTACAGATGAAAGTGGTATTAATTACTTGAAGCCAAATTGTCATGAATTAAAGATGCATATTAAAATTACATTAAATTTTAATGGTATAATCACTCCAGTTAAAAGGTATATAGTAGGGCTTCCCTGGTGGCGCAGTGGTTCAGAGTCCGCCTGCCGATGCAGGGGACACGGGTTCGTGCCCCGGTCCAGGAAGATCCCACATGCCGCGGAGCGGCTGGGCCCGTGAGCTATGGCCGCTGAGACTGCGCGTCCGGAGCCTGTGCTTCGCAATGGGAGAGGCCACAACAGTGAGAGGCCCACGTACCGAAAAAAAAAAAAAAAGGTATATAGTAGACAATATAAAAAAATCACGAACTAAGTACGTGTTGTCTGCAGGAAAGACGTTTTAAAAATACAGACACAGAGAGGTTAAAAGTGAAAAGATGAAAAAAGATATGCCATGCAAGCACAGATCAGAAGAATGATTAGTAAAAGTAGACTATAGGACAAGGAATATTGGCAGGAGAAAGGGAAGACACATTATAAGAATGAGGGCCAATTAATCAAAAAACCATAAAAATCCTCAATGTCTATGTGTATGCCTCAATTACAGAACTGGAAAATTTTCAGAGAAAAAACTGACAGAAGTGAAAGGAGAAATATGATGTATATCTTATATATTAAGACTTGGAAGCTGAATTTTTGTTTTATTTTGGAGACCTTCGAGAACTATGGCTTGTAAATTACCATGCCTGAGAATAAAGTCAAGCCAAATATTTCAGAGAATAGGAACTAGGGATGTGTTTAGTTTGATATGTATGCTCAGCTGTCCTTTTGCATGTAAAGCTGTTTTATCAGTTGTTTCCAAATATATATAATCTTGCATGATGTATTTACCTATGTAATAATAGAGACATGGTAACAAAGTTAATAAGGTAGAAAAAATTAAAATATAGTTTGTAAAATGGTTTCTAAACACATGGCTTTCAAAATGTTTGTCTTTTGGTTTAGTTGCTTTTTTCCCATAGCCTATACAAGAACAACATTGTATTTGATTATTATTTTTTGAAAAATAGGTGTATGTAGTATGGAAATTAAAGAATTAGATGAAAGAGATCAAATTCCCACTTAACTTTTTAGCTAGTCAGCCTCTACAGCAACTTTTAAAGGTTCCAATAGGTATTCTGTTTATATTAATTACTATTTTATTAGTTGAGCTAACTGTGACTTACAGGTTTTCATGGGGATTTACATGGGAATTTTCTCCACAGGGAATTAAAGAGCATGTAAATACTTTTTCCATTCTCTTTATTTTTAAGTTTATTTTGTGTTTTATTTGTTTGGAATAGTGAAGACTTACCCAGTAACAAGAATATTCTGTCCATAGAGTCTTTTCCCATCTACTTGGAAAATTTTCTAGGCTGACTTCAACAAATATGCAATATAAAAGTTAGCATTCAGATTTTACCCTCCCCTTTCCCAACAGAAAACAAAAAGATGAAGAAAGAATAGGGCAAAAAAATATTTTTTTACAATTGTTTAAATGTATCAGGTAATTATGAATTAATTTTGATATCAATTAATTTTAATATTCATGATGAAATATTAAAATGTGAATTCATATACATTGGAGTTCAAGGAATTACTAAAATAAGAATTAGTAAAACATACTCTCATTATTCCTTAAGACATCATTAATAAATGTTATGTTCTGCATAAATCTAGGAAAATATGATAACTTGGATAATTTGCTGTAAACCTTATCTATCTTTTCAGACTGTAATTGGCATAAAAATAAATAGGGTATCCTGGTTGTTACCAGAAAGGAACAAGTTCTCTCTTTTAATATTGCATGAATATTGAAATCAAGCATCTCTATGTTCCTGTTCCGTGGCTATTGTCAGTAGGTAAAACAGAGCAAAAGTGATTACTCAGCTCTCTAGTCTTATATACTGTTTATATGTATATATTCTTTCCCTGCCTTCATAAATTAAAAATGTAACATAATAATTGTACATTAAAATATTTTAATGTAAGCTTATTATGACAATCCACCATCTAAAAACATTAATTGGGGGTTGGTTATTTACAATAAAAAAAAAATCAGGTTTTCTTAACATTTAAAATACAATTAGAATTACACACACACACACACACACACACACACATCTTTTTTAAGACTGTTGAATAAAACATAGTAAAGCTCAAAAGGGAGATGAACCACATCACCTTATCATTCGTAGACATTTTACTCTCCAAAGAATATCCTGATTGATCACTGGCTGAAAGGGGCATTTAAGCCATCTCATACTCGTATTCTCTCTCTCTTGCCTCTCTCTCCCTCCCTTTTATGTCTCTCTGGCCATACAACTAATAATAAGCTGCCTTGAACAAAGCTTTTCTCTGTAAAACAATTGATTATACAACAAATCAAATATCACTTAGTTTTCCTAATGTTTATGTGAACAAATCAAAATTTTACATAATATATCAATTTGAATTTCATTATCCTTTAAATTAGAATTTAGAATCCATACTTGAAATACAATGGGTCAAAGACAAGTAGCATTCTAGTTCTCAAGTGGAGTAATTCCAATAATTCTATGAGATTAAACTAAAAAATACAAAAATCACAAATACCATTTGCTTCATTTCTCCTCTGTAATTGGGAATAATAATGAAGCTTGTAATTGGATTAAGATAATGAAGCAGAAGAAGGAATCGGGGAAGGAGGTAATTCTGGTTCCTTTCACCCCTACTTCCATTCCTCTATAGAAATGATCTGTTTGAATTACTTTCACATTTCACATTATTTTAATAAGTAACTATTTTAATCATAGATATTTTGAATAGCAAACTTAGTTCACCATGAATTATTATTTTTGTAAATGTGTTAGAAAGTTTTAAAATAGTTTTTGAGACATTATTATATTAAAATGTAGGTGACTTTATGGTTATACTGTAATAATTTAATTTAATCTTTAGAGCAAATAAGAAATTTATTGACATTCTGTATAAGAATAATTTTAATAGTAATAAACATATCACCCTAGTTTGTTAAATTGAAAGTCATAACATTATATTATAAATTGTGGTAATTGATACATATATACTGTTTTACTTGCAGATTATCCAAAGAAAACTAGAAGGACAAAGACAACATTGCAAAAAGGTGAATATTCATTTGTATGCTCATTAGTAGCATTTACATAAGGCACTTGGCAATTCAATTCTTAGCTTTCTCTGCTATGAGATTCATCATAAATCCATGTGATCTTTGACATGGTGTTTTGTTTCAGTGCATATAATGAAAATGTAGAAATAACATACATGATATTTGGTAAGGGAAGACTTCAAACACTGTGTTTACTCATTCTAATTCAGTGTGATATCTGGTATTAGATGAGTAACAATCCAGAGCCATGCACATGCTATTTTAACATCCCCAAAATAGTGATTTAGATGTTGCTGTTCTTACTTTATTTCTCAGATCTCTAATTCTTTCATAATCTCTGCATTGTGTGGCTTTAGTAAGTTTCATCCAGTATTACTCTGAATATATATATGCCTTTGAGTTGTCAACAGCCTGTATGCAAAAATAAGTGGAGATATTTAACAATAAATAATTGCTTTTGTCAACATTATTTAGCATTTGCATATTTTTGATTTAAATTATTTATAGTTTTTAACTAAAAAGAATTACTTTTTGGTGAATATATTATATCAGTACAAGAAAAATGTTACAAGAGATGAAGAAAGACATGCTCCTTTTAATAAAGGTCTAGAAGCTGACTTTGCTCAATTACCATTCACAGCATTTACATTTAAATGAGAAAATATTGAACAAAAAGATCAAATTATTTAATTCAGGACATTAAAAAGCTACATAATTCAAAGTGAATTTTAGTTTTACTAACTTTGATTTAATTATGTGGGAAAGAGCTGAAAAATTCTATAACTCACTGATAAGCTTAAGACAAACTACTGTCCAGAATTTCAATCAAAAGTTATAAAATAAATTCAGCAAAGTTTGTACAAACAACATAAGTAAATGTATTTATTTATAAGTTTTAAAATAACTTTCTATAAATATTGAATTAATTTTTACAAAAGTGTTCAATACTTCAATTAAATGAAATTCTTCTTATCTGTAATATCAAAGAATACAGCATATTTATAAATAGGGTTTTTTTGTCCATCAAGTAAAAGATGATATCTTCAACATTTAAACATTAGTATATTTTTTTTCAAAAATGTAGATTTAGGGGCTTCCCTGGTGGCGCAGTGGTTGAGCGTCCGCCTGCCGATGCAGGGGACACGGGTTCGTGACCCGGTCTGGGAAGATCGCACATGCCACGGAGCGGCTAGGCCCGTGCGCCATGGCCGCTGAGCCTGCGCGTCCGGAGCCTGTGCTCTGCAACGGGAGAGGCCACAACAGTGAGAGGCCCGCGTACCGCAAAAAAAAAAAAAAAAATGTAGATTTAGGAAAAAATTATATGCAGGGGAAATTTACTGGAAAATTATGCTACTTAATTTATATTTAATGATTTAGAATTGAAGCATTCTTATTTGATATTATATATGAAAGTTAGAGAGTAAAGCTATGGATATTATTCACATGTGTAAAAAATGTTCAGATGCTAAAACCAATCCATGATGAAGACCTTTAAGCATATTGATTTGAAGTCAACTTTGTGATATGCTTCCTAACATCACATCAGAACAGTTATAAAGACAATGGGGATTCTTTACAACCCTTTTGGGAGAAAGTTTTGTTCAAGACAATTGCCAAGTATGCAGCCTCAAACAAAAGTTAGTAGTGAAAATCATGTGGTTTGTGGAAGTTGGCATATATCTTAAAGCCTGCCTTCTGGGTTTTAACTGAGCATCAATTTAGAGCGAGGATTGTGTATGCAGATTCAATACAAACGTTAGAACTTTATTTATCTGAGGAATATTGGGAACGAATTTCTTAATTTGTGACCGTAGATATATTAAATTCTAGGTCTAAGCAGAATTATTTTACAAGTATGCAATTTCAACTCCTAAAATAAATGTATGTCCTAGAATGGGGCCTCATATAAATATGGCAACTTTCAGTTGTATAATTCCTTAATCATATTTTCAGAATAATTTGTTACTGTTTTCTCTTCTTTGTATGCAATATTTTTTACTTACTCCCTTTTGTTAAACATAGAATTCTTATATTATTTGTTAATATGATTTAAAATTTCATAAATACATACTAAGACCTAAACAAATCAAATTAGTGATCAAATGTATTTTTCTTTCTCTTGTAATACAGTATATTATAAAACTTTTTTAAACAGCTTTATTGAGATATAATTCACATGCTAAACAATTCAGCCATTTAAAGTGCACAATTTAATAATTTTAGTATATTTAGTATAGCGCAATCATCAGCATAATCAATTTTAGAACATTTTTATCACACCCCCCCCCAAAAAAAACCTCTGTAATCACTAACAGACACTGCCCCATTTCTTCTGGCTCCCCCAGCCCCAGGCAACCATTAATCCACTTTCTACATCTATAGATTGGCCTATTCTGGATGTTTCATAAAAATGAAATCATATAATATATGGATATATAGATATATATGGATAATATATGGATTTCTGTGTCTGACTCATTTCACTCAGCATAATGTTGTCAAGGTTCATCCATGTCGTAGCAGATCTCAGTACTTCATTCCTTATTATGACAGGATAATATTCCATTATATGGATAGACCACATTTTGTTTATCCATTTATCAGATGATAGACATCTGGGTTGTTTCCACCTTTTGGCATTTGGGAATAATGTTGCTAGGTACATTAGGGTTCAAGTTTTTGTGTGCACATGTGATTTCATTTCTCTTGGCCTAGACACCTAGGCCTCGGTGTGGTTCTAATAGGCATTCCTTTTAGAATTCTGAGTGAAGTTGAACATCTTCATGAATTACCTGTTTAAATCCATTGTTATTTTACTGTTGGGTTGTTTGAATGTTTCTTATTTGTGATATTGTGATTTATAATAAAGATATAGTTGGTCTTCCTCCTGTTGTCCCTGGCACAGAGCTCAAAAAACCCTTGGAATTTCCTGACTTGAGTCTTAAAGGTATCTTTTGTTATGTTAATGATGTGACTTCCGGGACAGCTCCTCAGTTGGGGGGACTGCTGGTTGCTGGGGGAGCCAACCCCTTGATTAGAGGGTTGAAACTTTCAATCCCATCCCCCCTCCACCACCTCCGGAGAGGGGAGAGGGGCTGGAGGTTGAGTTCAATCACCAATGGCCAATGATTTAATTATTCATGCCTGTGTAATGAAGCCTCCATAAAAACACAAAAGGACGGAGGTCAGGGAACTTCCGGGTTGTTGAACTTGGGGAGATTCGGGAAGAGTGGATACCTGGAGAGGGAAGCTCTGCCCCTTCCCACATACCTTGCCCTGTGCATCTCCTCCACCTTGCTGTTCCTGAATTATATCCTTTTGTAATAAACTGGTGATCTAGTAAGAAAACTTTTCTGGAGTTCCGTGAGCCAAATTAATCAAACCCAAAGAGGGGGGTGTGGAACCTCAGATTTACAGCCTTGTTGGTCAGAAGCCCGGGGGGCGGGGGGGGCGGGGTGCACCTGAACTTTTTTAACATCTTTATTGGAGTATAATTGCTTTGCAATGTTGTGTTAGTTTCTGCTGTATCACAAAGTGAATCAGCTATACGTATACATACATCCCCATATCTCCTCCCTCTTGCATTTTCCTCTCACCCTCCCTATCCCACCCGTCTAGGTGGACATAAAGCACCCAGATGATCTCCCTGTGCTATGCGGCTGCTTCCCACTAGCTATCTATTTTACATTTGGTAGTGTATATAAGTCCATGCCACTCTCTCACTTTGTCCCAGCTTACCCTTCCCCCTCCCTGTGTCCTCAAGTCCATTCTCTATGATTGTGTCTTTATTCTTGTCCTGCCCCTAGGTTCTTCAGAACCATTTTTTTAAATAGATTCCATATATATGTGTTAGCATACAGTATTTGCTTTCTGACTTACTTCACTCTGTATGACAGACTATAGGTCCATCCACCTCACTACAAATAACTCAATCTCTTTCCTTTTTATGGCTGAGTAATATTCCATCGTATATATGTGCCATATCTTCCTTATCCATTCATCTGTTGATGGACACTTAGGTTGCTTCCATGTCCTGCCTATTGTAAATAGTGCTGCAGTGAACATTGCTGTACATGACTCTTTTTGAATTATGGTTTCTCAGGGTATATGTCCAGTAGTGGGATTGCTGGGTCATATGGTAATTCTATTCTTAGTTTTTTAAGGAAGCTCCATACTGTTCTCCATAGTGGCTGTATCAATTTACATTCTCACCAACAGTGCAAGAGGGTTCCCTTTTCTCCACACCCTCTCCAGCATTTATTGTTTGTAGATTTTTTGATGATGGCCATTCTGACCAGTGTGAGGTGATACCTCATTGTAGTTTTGATTTGCATTTCTCTAATGATTAGTGATGTTGAGCTTCCTTTCATGTGTTTGTTGGCAATCTGTATATCTTTTTTGGAGAAATGTCTATTTAGGTCTTCTGCCCATTTTTGGATTGGGTTGTTTGTTTTTTTGATATTGAGCTGCATGAGCTGCTGGTATATTTTGGAGATTAATCCTTTGTCAGTTTCTTCATTTGCAAATATTTTCTCCCATTCTGAGGGTTGTCTTTTGGTCTTGTTTATGGTTTCCTTTGCTGTGCAAAAGCTTTTAAGTTTCATTAGATCCCATTTGTTTATTTTTGTTTTTATTTCCACTTCTCTAGGAGGTGGGTCAAAAAGGATCTTGCTGTGATTTATGTCATAGAGTGTTCTGCCTATATTTTCCTCTAAGAGTCTTATAGTGTCTGGCCTTACATTTAGGTCTTTAGTCCATTTTGAGTTTGTGTATGGTGTTAGGGAGTGTTCTAATTTCATTCTTTTACATGTAGCTGTCCAGTTTTCCCTGCACCACTTATTGAAGAGGCTGTCTTTTCTCCATTGTATATTCTTGCCTCCTTTATCAAAGATAAGGTGTATTATAAAAATTTAAAGAAGTAGGATTTTTCCTTGTCCCATATATTAAACTTAACCATGGGAATAATAGTTACATTCACCTTAAGAAACAAGAGGCAGTAAACAATGAACAAAATAACTTTCAAATTGGTACTTTGAGAAGTCATAGAAAATAGATATTTTACTCTATATTAAAATAGGATGTTTTAATTAATAAAACAATTTTTTCATAGGGGATTGGTTTTTCTACTGTTGCAGAAATCATTAACATTATTAAATACATACTGTTTTTATAATAAAGCACTCATGAATATTGCTTCCCTGAGATAAATGCAAGATGCTTTAAGATGTGAAAAGATGCTACTCTTCATTTTTGCAGCTATGGTAATATATAGTTGCAGGGGGAAAGAAATGGGGAAATTGGAACTTTGCCCTAAAAAATTCAAGCCCAATATATCTTGCAATCATCATAATTTTGAAAATAATTTATTGCTTTTCTTTACAGAGTATGCATGTAAACAAGGCTTGTAATGTAGATCACAGTGGTACAACTTTTGTGACAGCTATGTTTAGCCTGGTTTGGAGCACTATCAAAGAATGGGTATTAGACTTTTTCAAAAGCCTCTCCAATCCCTGAACATGTATTTCCTGTCTGCCTCTGCACTATTGGAGTCATTCCAATGCCTGGAAGAAAAATAAGAGACACAGTGGAGGAGGATGTCATACCTAATACAGATATTAATTTCAGCATAAGAATTCAGGAAATTCTAAGTATAGCCATGAAAGCTTCCATACCCCTCAAAGCTTCTCCCTTTTTTAAAAATTGAAACCATTCTAATGAAACAACAAAGTATACTTAAATGAGACTGCACACCTGAAAAATAAGAAATATTTGTAGATCTTTCCTAAATGTTGATGCACATAAGCTTAGTAAAAATAATTAAACCAAATTTTTGCCATAATATTTTGGACTTCCAAACCAAGGGTAAAAAAACCAAATATCTTTTATTCTCTCAGTTCATGAAAGAGCTGATAGTTAATGCCCTATTAATTTACTATGAGAAATTTAGAATTTGAAATTCCAATAGACACAATGTATGACAACAGTTGTAACTCCCTTATTCTAAATGTCACAGTAGATATAGTATAGTTGTGGATAAAGTTATATTTTACCTTTTATCTTTATCTTTTCATATTTACTCCTTAAATAATTTCAACTTAACCATTTATATTTTTAATTAACGTAATTAAATTATTAACAAAATGGAATATTGCTTTCTGACATTTTTATAATTTCTAGAAAAGCCAGATTTCTGCTTTTTGGAAGAAGATGCTGGAATCTGTCGAGGTTATATTACTAGGTATTTTTATAACAATCAATCAAAGCAGTGTGAACGCTTCAAGTATGGTGGGTGCCTTGGCAATCTCAACAACTTTGAATCACTGGAAGAATGCAAGGACACCTGTGAGGACTCATGTACGTTCATTTCTCATCTCCTTTTACTTCATTTTATAGCATTCTTTTTAAAATAAGGCATCCTAGAGGATGTTCAGGCTTACCCAGATTTTGTTGCAGCCATGCAAATGAAGATCCACTGTAGTCACTCTTAATCTGATAGAAATTAGTCACCATGTTAGTTTATTTAAGAAACAGAGAATTAAGAAATTTATAGTGGAAATTATTTCCATAGAAATTGTTTTTAGGTTACATTATTTAATCTTCCTTTCTGAGAATACTGTAGTGCAATTTAGGCACAAGAGTAGGACTGCTGAAATCCCTTAGGCTTATAAAAACTTGAGAGCACGTGGTTCTTTAGAAACTACCACCTAAAATCAGTCAGTTTTATCTGAGCCTAAAATTAATTAAAGGAGTGACTTAAACAGTAATTGTTACCTTTTTTGTTTTGACAAAGAACCACAAAGTTACTCATGGAAATATTATAGTATAAGATACATATATAAAGATATAAAGATATATATATCTTATATATATGAGATATAAAGATATATAAAGATTCACTAATTTAACATACCAATGTGAATAAAATTTCTAGACATCTACTTTTCTTAACACAACTTCTGTGCTTTGCTTTATGTGTACAATTATGAGCTTGTGAAAATGTCTTCTATTTTAATTGGCTGTATTTTTTTCCAGTGAATGATTTCCAGGTGGATGATTATAGAACCCAGCTTGATGCTGTGAATAATGACTCCTTGACTCCCCAGCCTACCAAGGTACCCAGCTTCTTCGGTAAGACTCTCTTTTAATTGCTGCCAGAAAAATATTTTCATGGTAACAATAGAAATAGAATGTATATGAGAACTATGCTTTTTAGAAAATTATGCTTCTTTTGTTATTTAATAATAGGTGTGTTGAAATACTGAGATTCAAAATTGCTTAAGACCTTTTGTCCCAGAAAAGTGATAATTTTCCTAATCTATTTTAAAGTATGCTTTGTAGTAGGCTTTTGATTACATATCCCATGAAAACTTTTACATGATATTTAACTCTGCACCAAATTTATCTTATAAAATAATGCTAGGAATTATCAACTTCATCATTGTAATGGCAGCAGTGTGTCAAAAGCATCCTAAAGTGTTCTTAAATTGAGCATAGCATTGGAGAAGTTCTCTGGTGTTAGTCGCAGGACAGATTAGGAATTCGGTGACTAACCATCCGTGAGGCTATGTCACTCTGAGAGAATTTTCTTTTGGATGTATGCAGAACACTTTTCTGAACTCTGTCCTGCCAACATATTTGTCAAATTTAAACAAACATACAGGAAATATGCTCACAAAAATGCAGAGCTGGGAAAATAATGGAAATACTGGAAAACATAACCAGACACCACAAATATCTAGACAAACAACCTAAAAAGTTGAAAGTTAATGGGATGAATGTAATTCTTTCTAAATTTAAAAAATCACAAGTGCTTATTCAGAAACTGGAGATTTTGCTTAGAAGCAGTCCGTATAAGTGTTAAACGTAAAGGTGGCATGTGCTGAGAGTTCTGAGGCTATTAAAATTTCAGCCTTAGGGTAAAAAGAGACATAGTGTCTGGGGCACAGGTTCTCTACCCCAGCCATGTGTCAGAATTGGATGGGGTTCAGAACCAGAATGTCTTTGAGAATCTTTCTTTACAAAAAACAAACAAACAAGCAAAACTTCTGCCCAGATGGATTTAAAGGACTGCAAATGTTGTCTGTGATTTATCTAGAATGAGGAATATAGTCCTACATTGACCTGATGATGTCTGTGGACTTGCTTCAGCCCTGAATGCCATAACTTAGAAGTCACTGGACTGAGACTCAGGACTGGAAAGTGTAAGGAGATGTGAGATCTAAGAGAGAACATTATATATGCTCTCAGTACTTGAAACACTGTCATGTGAAAGGAAAATTAAATTCTGTACATGCCTCACTCAATCTTCTCCATTTCAGTCTTCCCTGTCCATATCCCCCTGGTTCCTTATCTCCCTCAACCCAGCCTAAGAATCAGAATTAATGAATGAAATCTAAAGTACAAATTTCTTTCTGTAAAGTGTTTATTTTTAGTATGTATATTAAATTGTATATTAAATTGTACATATTATACATTGTATACGTATATTGTATACATATATACAATTGTATATATTAATATGTAATATTAAATTGTATATATTATAATATATACAAAAATGAACGAGTGCTTCAGTGACTAAATTCCCCAAATTGCAGGCATTCAAATAGTGTTCCAATAGTACTTGCAGTGTCATAAAGGGCATGCAAAATTTCAGAGGGAGTTAGTATATTCAAAATGCCTTCAGGTCTTTAGATTTTATAATTAGAGCAGTGAAGTATTACATCTGTCACTGCTTGCAATTATATAAATACATTTTATAATAATTTAAGAAAATACAGTTCTATGTTTATGTAAAAACTTGTTCAACATTTTAGCAAATGTGTAAGGTTCTCCGTGGATATTAGGTTCTTTTGAAAAGATGTAAATCCTTTAAGGTTTTGATTCAGTGTACAGGAATAAGAATATGCCCCACAATACAAATAGAATAGCATTCATTTAAAATTCTTTTCATTAAAAACAATCCTTAGGTATTTGAATATTCCAAAAATATAGCTAGATTGTGTTATTGTTATTAAGTGAAATATTTATAAATATAATTTTAGTGTTTCTCTTTCTGATGATAATAGAAAAACATTTTAGAAATTTTGTTCAATGTTACTGGAAAATGGTTTGGTAATTTTTTTAAATTGCTATTTATTCTCAACCATAATATTGCAAATTAGCATGAGAATATATATTTTCCAGTGAACCCTCTTGACTCAAGATATTTGAATGCTTATTAAGCACAACTGAGGTTTAATTTTCTCCTTTCATTTCCATATTTCAATATTAATAGGCTACATAGGTGACCTCAAATATTGAAACTTGCTCTTCCTTAAAGAGGTTTTTGTTTTGTTTTGTTTTGTTTTTGCGGTACGCGGGCCTCTCACTGTTGTGGCCTCTCCCGTTGTGGAGCACAGGCTCCGGACACGCAGGCCCAGCAGCCATGGCTCATGGGCCCAGCCGCTCCGTGGCACGTGGGATCCTCCCGGACCGGGGCACGAACCCATGTCCCCTGCATCGGCAGGCGGACTCTCAACCACGGCGCCACCAGGGAAGCCCTAAAGAGATTTTTTATAAAGGTTTTGTAAGCATGGCCCTGTGCAAAAGTGAGAGCAAATTATTTGATTTTGATTCTTTGTCCTGAATTGTGAGGATCTCTGCATAGTTACAATAAATATGTGCTCAGTACATGTGGGAGAGAAATAATTCTAACACAGTATCTCTAAATGTATGCAGTTCTGTGTAAGATCTTCAGAATGAAAGACTGTCACAACTGGTTCTTCTTGACTTTCCTGCTGGGATTGGCACTAAAATATAGTGGATAAGAGAAATGACTGAGCCTGAAGACTTGGTCTCAGATCCCATTTCTTTCACTTACTAGCTGTGCAACCTTAAGATAATTCTTAACCTCTCAGAACCTTATTTTTTCCACTGCAAAATGAGGATGTTAATAATATAGTACTTACCTCATAGGTTTTATTGTGAGGTGAAATCAGTCAATACACATAACTTGCTTAGGACAGTACCTGATAACCTATTGAGTGCTACATAAGTATGATTTATCATTATTACCCATGTAATTCAGAGCAATACAAGCCTTAGTTCCCAGGTCTTAGTTTCTCATCTGTAAAACAACTCTTTGTAAATTCCCATTTGCAGGAAAAGGTGGTATATCAGCCACTTATAAAATCTCTAATTATTCAAATAAGTGCTTCAGTACACATACAGTAAAAAAAATTACAATTAACCTTTAAAAGAGAATTCACAATAGAACTAAATACATATGTGGGAACTCAAACAGTTCAAATTGAGAATATTGGCATGCAGAAGTATCATGGGGCTTTGAAACCAAAAGAATTTTATTTGTAAAATTTTTCTTTATAGTTTTCAGTATTTCCAGCTTTCCAAATTTTCAGAATTCTGCCACCATTTTTCCATTTATTTCAGCTTGAGCATTTGGTAATCTCTTTTGATCACTTCTGTTCTAGTCAGTCATTTTTGCTATTGCTTTTTCTGATGAAATGTCCATTCTCATCTTCTCCATTTTCAGTCTAACCTGTTTCCTTCAGACTATCAATCCTTCATGTTTAGATTACAACCAAACTGGGATGCTAATAGAAATGAAAGGAGAGTGCAAAAAAAAATTTTATTTATTTAAAATATATACATACAGACAGAAAATTGGGTTTGTCATTTTGGTGGATAAATATTATAGTTTTATTTTAAAACATTTCAATTTTTAAAAAGCACAATATGTTGGAACATGATATACCAAAAAATAAGCATGAACTAATACTAGCTCTGGCAAACCAGATGTTATAGACATTAGATAGGTAGATAAGGAGGATAAATAAATAGATATCACAGAGTTCAGCTATAACTCAGATATACTACATATATTATTAATATAGTCATATACCAGGCATAAGTCAAGTAAAACATTTTATGTATATGTGTGTATATGTATAGACATAAAAGACGGAGATGGAGAATCAGAGCTATATATAACATGTATAAGATATGACCTTTTTTGACATGACTGGCCTACTTAGATACATTCATTATATTAGAGTCAAGCAAATTTACATATTTCTCTTGCTTTATAGAAAAGATTTTTAACTTAATGGATACATTTTTTTCCCCATGTTAATTTAGCCTCATCCACTTGGCTTAAATTTGTCTGTTATCTGTCTACCTATTCCAGATTTTGTCTTACTATCCTGTAAATAAAAAAGTTTTTTGTCCATTCAGAATAGATATTGTCATTAAACACAAATTATCCACTCTCTTCATTATTATTAAACACAAGTTATCCACTGCTTTCTCCCACCTAAAACTCACTGGCCTTCCTCATCGTATCTAAGCTGCTTTTTTACCACCATAAGGAAGACTTCTTCCTCTCTCTTTCCCCTGGCTTTTTATTTTGATTCATTTAATATTTATATTGCTTGATGTGTCAGCTCTGCCTCACTGACTAGATTACAAGTTTTTTTTTTGTTTTTTTTTTTTTTTTGCGGTACACGGGCCTCTCACTGTTGTGGCCTCTCCCGTTGCGGAGCACAGGCTCCGGACGCGCAGGCTCAGCGGCCATAGCTCACGGGCCCAGCTGCTCTGTGGCATGTGGGATCCTCCCGGACCGGGGCACGAACACATGTCCCCTGCATCGGCAGGCGGACTCTCAACCACTGCGCCACCAGGGAAGTCCAGATTACAAGTTTTTTGAAGGAAGAGACCATGGATTATATATTTTGTAGACTTCCCTCCCCTAGTGTTTATCCCACTGTTAGGCACAGGATAGAAGACTAATATTTTTTTTATTTATTAATTTTGTAATCCACAGTTACAACAGAAAGAACAAATGACGGTTGGAAGAATGCTGATCACACTTACCCAGTCTTTCTGAACATCTGCATTCATGCATCCGTATTCATTTTAAGATTACATAGCATTTTATGCATATGTTAATAATTGTTTTTTGGTATTTCTTTAATATTTATATGGTATATGTGATGCCTTTCATAGGATACTATTAATAAAGTTTTAATATTTATATGCATAGAGTTAATATAGTCCTCTCAATATATCTCTGATAAACATCTAACTAGCAAAGAAAAACTAATGTTTTCAAGTGTTCATATTGGCAC